TTACTTTTCCAGTTACTTTTCCAGTTACTTTTCCAGTTACTTTTCCAGTTACTTTTCCAGTTACTTTTACCTTTTTTAGTTACTTTTTTTAGTTACTTTTTTTTTTTTTAGTTACTTTTTTAGTTACTTTTTTAGTTACAGTTACTTTTTTAGTTACTTTTTTTTTAGTTACTTTTTTTAGTTACTTTTTTTAGTTACTTTTTTTAGTTATTTTTTTACTTTTTTTTTTTTTTAGTTACTTTTTTACTTTTTTTAGTTACTTTTTTAGTTACTTTTTTTAGTTACTTTTTTTAGTTACTTTTTTTAGTTACTTTTTTTAGTTACTTTTTTTTTAGTTACTTTTTTTAGTTACTTTTTTTAGTTACTTTTTTAGTTACTTTTTTTTAGTTACTTTTTTACTTTTTAGTTACTTTTTTTAGTTACTTTTTTTATTTAGTTACTTTTTTAGTTACTTTTTTTTTACTTTTTAGTTACTTTTTTTAGTTACTTTTTTTACTTTTAGTTACTTTTTTTAGTTACTTTTTTTAGTTACTTTTTTAGTTACTTTTTTTAGTTACTTTTTTTTAGTTACTTTTTTTTTTTTAGTTACTTTTTTAGTTACTTTTTTTAGTTACTTTTTTAGTTACTTTTTTAGTTACTTTTTTAGTTACTTTTTTAGTTACTTTTTTTAGTTACTTTTTTTAGTTACTTTTTTTAGTTACTTTTTTTAGTTACTTTTTTTTTTAGTTACTTTTTTTAGTTACTTTTTTTAGTTTACTTTTTTTTAGTTACTTTTTTTTTTTACTTTTTTTAGTTACTTTTTTTAGTTACTTTTTTAGTTACTTTTTTTAGTTACTTTTTTAGTTACTTTTTTTAGTTACTTTTTTTAGTTACTTTTTTTAGTTACTTTTTTAGTTACTTTTTTTAGTTACTTTTTTTAGTTTTTTAGTTACTTTTTTTAGTTACTTTTTTTAGTTACTTTTTTTAGTTACTTTTTTTAGTTACTTTTTTAGTTACTTTTTTAGTTACTTTTTTTTTTTAGTTACTTTTTTTTTTAGTTACTTTTTTTAGTTTCTTTTTTTAGTTACTTTTTTTAGTTACTTTTCCAGTTACCAGTTACAGTTTTTTCCAGTTACTTTTCCAGTTACTTTTCCAGTTACTTTTCCAGTTACTTTTCCAGTTACTTTTCCAGTTACTTTTCCAGTTACTTTTCAGTTACTTTTCCAGTTACTTTTCAGTTACCAGTTACTTTTTCCAGTTACTTTTCAGTTACTTTTTCAGTTACTTTTTTCAGTTACTTTTTTTAGTTACTTTTTTTAGTACTTTTTTTTACTTTTTTTAGTTACTTTTTTTAGTTACTTTTTTTTAGTTACTTTTTTTAGTTACTTTTTTAGTTACCTTTTTTTTAGTTACTTTTTTTAGTTACTTTTTTTAGTTACTTTTTTTAGTTACTTTTTTTAGTTACTTTTTTAGTTACTTTTCCAGTTACTTTTCCAGTTACTTTTCCAGTTACTTTTCCAGTTACTTTTCCAGTTACTTTTCCAGTTACTTTTCCAGTTACTTTTCCAGTTACTTTTCCAGTTACTTTTTTAGTTACTTTTTTTAGTTACTTTTTTTAGTTACTTTTTTTAGTTACTTTTTTTAGTTACTTTTTTTAGTTACTTTTTTTAGTTACTTTTTTAGTTACTTTTTTAGTTACTTTTTTAGTTACTTTTTTTAGTTACTTTTTTAGTTACTTTTTTTAGTTACTTTTTTAGTTACTTTTTTTAGTTACTTTTTTTAGTTTAGTTACTTTTTTTAGTTACTTTTTTAGTTACTTTTTTTTAGTTACTTTTTTTTAGTTACTTTTTTAGTTTATTTTTTAGTTACTTTTTTAGTATTTTTCAGTTACTTTTTCAGTTTACTTTTCATTCTTTTCTGACAGGGAGGAAATAATAGACGAGATGAGGGGGGATAAGAGAGGAAGTGGACCTTTCCTTTTTCCCCTTTCCTTTTCCCGTTCCCTTTGCCGGGACGGGGCCAGTTCCGGTGCCAGTTTCGGTGTGCCAGGGACGGGTGCCAGTTACTGGTTGTGTACTTTTGTTAGTCTTTTGGTGTATGGTGACTTTGTGGAGTGACGGTGGTGGGGGGACTTGTTTAGGGTACTTGGGGGAGGGACGGGGGTAGGACGTTGGGAGGGACGTGGGGGAGGTGACCTTTGTTGGGAGGCCGGTGTGAGGGACTTTTGTAGTGACGTTTTTTAGTGCCTTTTTGAGGGGGGGGAGGTACGTGGCCAGGTGACGGGGGCCAGGGACGGGGCCAGTGCCGGGGCAGGGACGGGCCGGGACGGGGCAGTGACGGGCCAGGGACGGGCCAGGACGGGGGCCAGGGACGGGCAGGACGGGGCCAGGACGGGCCAGGGTACTTGGCCAGTGACTGGGCCAGTGACGGGGCAGGACTGGCCAGGCGGTGCCAGGGACGGGGCCAGGGAGGGGCCCGGGACGGGCAGGACGGGGCAGGCTGGGGCGGGCCAGGGACGGGGGCAGGGGACAGGGTTGCAGGGGGGGGGGGGGCAGGACGGGGGCAGGTACGGGGGAGGGAAGGGGGGGAGGGACGGGGGAGGACTGGGGCGAGGGGGGTTTTGTGGACGGGGGGAGGACTGGGCAGGGACGGGGCAGGACGGACGGGGCAGGGACGGGGCCAGGGACGGCCGGGACTGGGACCGGGCGGGGGCCATGACGGGGCCAGGGACTTGGGGGAGGACGGGGGGAGGGACGGGGGGGGGGGACTTGGGGGAGGGACGGGGGGTAGGGACGGGGGGACGGGGGGGGGGGACGGGGGGGGGGGGGGGGGGAGGGACTGACGGGGAGGGACGGTGGGTAGGCGGGCCGGGAGGGACGGGGGGGACGGGGGGAGGGACGGGGGGGAGGGGGGGAGGGAGGGGGGGAGGGACTGGGGGGAGGGACGGGGGTAGGGACGGGGGGGAGGGGGGGGGGGACGGGGGGAGGACGGGGCAGGGCGGGGGACGGGGCCGGGACGGGCCAGGGACGGGGCCAGGACGGGCCAGGGACGGGCCAGGGGGGGAGGGACGGGGGGGAGGACGGGGGGGAGGGACGGGGGGTAGGGACGGGGGAGGGACTGGGGGGGAGGGACGGGGGGGGGACTTGGGGCGGGACGGGGCCAGGGACGGTTAGGACGGGGGAGTGACGGGAAGGGACAGAGGACGGGGGGGGGGGGGGGGGGGGGGGGACGGGGGGGGGGGGGCCAGTGACGGGGCCAGGACGGGGCGAGGGACTGGCCAGGCCGGGGCCGGACGGGCCAGGGACGGGGCCAGGGACGGGGCCCAGGGACGGGCGAGGGACGGGGAGGGACGGGGGGAGGGACGGGGGGGACGGGGGGGAGGGACGGGGGTGAGGGACGGGGGGGAGGGGACGGGGGGGGGGGACGGGGGGGGGAGGGACGGGGGGGGGACGGGGGGGGAGGGAGGGGGGGGGTGGGGAGGGACGGGGGGAGACGGGGGGGAGGGACGGGGGGGAGGGACGGGGGAGGGACGGTGGGGAGGACGGGGGGGGACGGGGGTGAGGGACGGGGGGGAGGACGGGGGGGAGGACGGGGGGGGGGGGGGGGGGTGGGGTGGGAGGACGGGGCAGGGGGTAGGGGGGGAGGTACGGGGCCAGGACGGGGACAGGGACGGGGGGGACGGGGGGGGACGGTGGGGAGGGGGGGGACGGGGGCAGGACGGGGGGAGGGGGGGGGGGGGAGGGGGGACGGGGGGGGAGGGGGACGGGGGGGAGGGACGGGGGGGAGGGAGGGGGGAGGGACGGGGGGAGGGACGGGGGGGGGGGACGGGGGGAGGGGACGGGGGGGGAGGGGGGGGGAGGGACGGGGGGGGGGACGGGGTGAGGGGACGGGGGGGAGGGACGGGGGGAGGGGGACGGGGGGGAGGGACGGGGGGGGAGGACGGGAGGGACTGGGGGGGGAGGGACGGGGGGGGGGCAGGACGGGGGGGGACGGGGCAGGGACGGGGGGGGCAGTGACGGGGGAGGGGGGGGGCAGGGACGGGGGAGGGACGGGGGGGGGGGGAGGGGGGGGGGAGGGGACGGGGGGGAGGGACGGGGGGAGGGGACGGGGGGGAGGGGGGGACGGGGGGGAGGGACGGGGGGGAGGGACGGGGGGGAGGACGGGGGGGAGGACGGGGGGGGAGGGACGGGGGGGAGGGGACGGGGGGAGGGACGGGGGGGAGGGGACGGGGGGGAGGGACGGGGGGGAGGGGACGGGGGGAGGGACGGGGGGGAGGGACGGGGGGAGGGACGGGGGGGAGGGACGGGGGGGAGGGACGGGGGGAGGACGGGGGGAGGGACGGGGGTGAGGGGACGGGGGGGAGGGACGGGGGGGGAGGGACGGTGGGGAGGGACGGGGGGGAGGGACGGGGGGGGAGGGGACGGGGGGAGGGACGGGGGGGGGGGAGGGACGGGGGGGAGGGGACGGGGGGGGGAGGGACGGGGGGGGGACGGGGGGAGGGACTGGGGGGAGGGGGGGGGAGGGACGGGGGGGAGGGACGGGGGGAGGGACGGGGGCAGGGGGGGACGGGGGCAGGGACGGGGGGGACGGGGGCAGGGAGGGGACGGGGCCAGGACGGGCCAGGGACGGGGCCGGGACGGGGCCAGGGACGGGGCCAGGACGGGGCCAGGGGGGACGGGGCCAGGACGGGGGCCGGGACGGGGCCGGGACGGGGCCGGGGACGGGGGGGGGGGGGGGGGACGGGGGAGGACGGGGGGAGGGACGGGGGAGGGACGGGGGGGAGGGGGGGAGGGACGGGGGGGAGGGACGGGGGGGGGGGGGGGGGAGGGACGGGGGGAGGGAGGGGGGGGGACGGGGGGAGGGACGGGGCCCAGGCGGGGCCAGGGACTGGGCCAGGACGTGGCCAGGGACGGGCCAGGACGGGGGACGGGGGCCAGGAGGGGCCAGGGACGGGACAGGGGGCCAGGGACGGGGCGCCAGGACGGGCCAGGGACGGGGCCAGGGACGGGGCAGGGACGGGCCAGGGGGGGACGGGGCCAGGGACGGCCAGGGACGGGGCCAGGGACAGGCCAGGGACGGGGCGGAGGGACGGGGCGGAGGACGGGGCGAGGACGGGGCGAGTGACGGGCGAGGGACGGTGGCGAGACGGGGGGCAGGACGGGGGGGCAGGGGACTGGGGGCAGGGACGGGGGCAGGGGAGGGGGCAGGGTACGGTGGCAGGGACGGGCGGGGACTGGGGGCAGGACGTGCGGGAGGGGACGGGCGAGGCGGGCGAGGGACGGGGCGGAGGACGGGGCGGAGGACGGGGCGAGGACGGGGCGAGGACGGGCGAGGGACGGGGTCGAGGGGAGGGGCGAGGGACGGGCGAGGGACGGGCGAGCAGGGCGAGGGACGGGGCGGAGGGACGGGGCGGGGGGCCGGAGGGACGGGGGGAGGGGCGGGGGGGCGAGGACGGGGCGGGGACGGGGCGAGGGCGGGCGAGGACGGGCGGAGGGACTGGGGCGGAGGGACGGGGCGAGGACGGGGCCAGGGACGGGGGCGAGGACGGGGCGAGGACGGGGCGGGGACGGGGCCAGGGACGGGGCCAGGACTGGTCCAGGGACGGGGCCAGGACGGCCAGGGACGGGCCAGGGACGGGGCGGGGACGGGGCGAGGGCCGGGGCGAGGTACGGGGCCAAGGGACGGGGCGGAGACGGGCGAGGAGGACGGGGGCGAGGGGTTGCGAGGGACGGGGGGGAGGGGACGGGGGGGGAGGGACGGGGGGGAGTGACTGGGGGAGGTGAAATGGGGGAGTGACGGGGCGAGGGACGGGGGGCGATGGACGGGGCGAGTGACGGGTCAGGGACGGTGCGAGGACGGGGGCGAGGACTGGGCGAGGACTGGGCGGAGGGCGGGGCGAGGTACGGGCGAGGAGGGCGGGGCAGGACGGGGTCGAGGGACGGTCGAGGACGGGCGGAGGGACGGGGGCCAGGACTGGTCCAGGACGGGGCCAGGACGGGTCGGAGTGACGGGGCGGAGGGACGGTGCGAGGGACGGGGCGAGGGACGGGGCGGGAGGGACGGGGCGGGAGGGACGGGGCGAGGGACTGGGCGGAGGGCCGGGGGGGAGGGACGTGGGGAGGTGACGGGGGGGGAGGGACGGGGGGGATGACGTGGGGAGGGCGGGGGGAGGGACGTGGGGAGGGACGGGGGGAAGGGACGGGGGGGTGAGTGACGGGGGGAGGACGGGGGGGGGTGCCGGGCGAGGGGACGGGCCAAGGACTGGGCCCAGGACTGGGCCAGGACGGGCCAGGGACGTGCCAGGACGGGGGGAGGGGACGGGGGCGGGCCGGGGGGGAGGCCGGGGGGAGTGCGGGGGGGACTGTGAGGGGGAGGGGTGGGGAGGGACGCCAGGGACGGGGCCGGGCGGGGTAGGACGGGGCCAGTGGGGGAGGGACGGGGAGTGGAGGGCCGGGGGGGGGACGGGGGGAGGGACGGGGGGAGGGGACGGGGGGGGAGGACGGGGGGGAGGGACGGGGGGGGAGGGACGGGGGGGACGGGGGGACGGGGGAGGGCGGGGGCCAGGACGGGGCCAGGACGGGCCAGGGGGGCCAGGACGGGCCAGGGGGGGGACGGGAGGGACGGGGGGGAGGGACGGGTGAGGGGACGGGGGGGGGGACGGGGCAGGGACGGGGGGGGACGGGGGGAGGACGGGGGGAGGGACGGGGGGGAGGGGGGGAGGGACGGGGGGGAGGGACGGGGGGGGAGGGACGGGGGGGGGGAGGGGGGGGGGAGGGACGGGGGGGGAGGGGACGGGGGGAGGGACGTGGGGAGGGGACGGGGGGGGGGACGGGGGGGAGGGACGGGGGGAGGGACGGGGGGACGGGGGGGGGGGAGGACGGGGGGACTGGAGGGACGGGGGGCACGGGCCAGGGGACGGGGGGGACGGGGGGGGGAGGACGGGGGGAGGGCGGGACGGGGGGGAGGGAGGACGGGGGAGGGACGGGGGGAGGGACGGGGGGGGGACGGGGGGGGAGGGGACGGGGGGGGGAGGGACTGGGGGAGGGACGGGGGGAGGGGACGGGGGGAGGGACGGGGGGGAGGGACGGGGGGGGGACGGGGGGGGGACGGGGGGGAGGGGGACGGGGGGGAGGGGACGGGGGGACTGTGGGACGGGAGGGAGGGACGGGGGGACGGGGGGGGACGGGAGGGGGGGGAGGGGACGGGGGGGGGGAGGGACGGGGGGAGGGACGGGGGGAGGGACGGGGGGGGGAGGGGACGGGGGGCAGGGACGGGCCAGGGACGGGGGGGGGAGGGACGGGGAGGGACGGGGGCCGGGACGGGCCGGGCCGGGGCCAGGGACGGGGCCAGGGCCAGGGGGGGACGGGGCCAGGGACGGGCCAGGGGACGGGGGGGGGGGGGACGGGGGGGGGGACGGTGGGGGGGACGGGGGGAGGGACGGGGGGAGGGACGTGGGGGAGGGGACGGGGGGGAGGACGGGGGGGAGGGACGGGGTGGGAGGGACGGGGGAGGGACGGGGGGAGGGACGGGGGGGGAGGGGACGGGGGAGGACGGGGGGGAGGGGGGAAAGGGAGGGGGGGCCAGGGACGGGCCAGGGACGGGGCCAGGGACGGTGCCAGGACGGCCAGGCGGGCCGGCGGGGCCAGGACGGGGCCAGACGGGCCAGGGACGGGGCCCAGGGACGGGCCAGGGGACGGGCCGGACGGGCCAGGGCGGGGCCGGACGGGCCAGGACGGGGCAGACGGGCGAGGGACGGGCGGATGACGGGGCAGGCGGGGCAGGGGCGGGGCAGGGGAGGTGGGCAGGGACGGGGAGCGGGACGGGGCAGACGGGGGGCAGGGTACGTGGGCGAGGGACGGGGCGAGGGACGGGCGGGAGGGAGGGCGGGGAGGACGGGCGGGGGTAGGGCGGGCCGTGCGCGGAGGGGGGCGAGGGACGGCGAGGGACGGGGTCGGGGCGAGGGGACGGCGAGGGGGGAGGGACTGGGCAGGGACGGGGCCAGGACGGGGCAGGGACGGGCGGGACTGGGCCAGGGACGGGGAGGGACGGGGGGACGGGGGGGAGGGCGGGGGGAGGGGACTGCACGGACGGGGGAGGGACGGGGGGGAGGGGTGGGGGAAGGGGGGGGGGACGGGGAGGGACGGCCGGTACGGGGGACTCGGGGGCCAGGGAGTCGACGGGGCGTGGGGGGGGGACGGGGGATGACGGGTGGGGGGGACGGGGGGGAGGGACGGGGGGGGGGAGGGGGGGGGGACGGGGGAGGGACGGGGGGAGGGACGGGGGGAGGGGGGGGGAGGGGAGGGGGGGGGGACGGGTGGGACGGGACGGGGGGGGAGGGACGGGGTGGAGTTACGGGTGGTAGGACGGGGGCCAGGACGGGGGCCAGGGACGGGGGGAGGGACCGGGGGAGGGACTGGGCAGGGACGGGGCCAGGTGGGCCAGGACGGGGCCAGGGACGGGGCCAGGGACGGGGCCAGGGGACGGGGCCAGGACGGGGACGGGGGGGGGACGGGCGGGGGGGGGCGGGGGGGAGTGACGGGGGGGGCGGGGGAGGGACGGGGGGAGGGACGGGGGGGGAGGGACGGGGGGGAGGACGGGGGGGAGGGACGGGGGGGGAGGGACGGGGGGGGAGGGACTGGGGGAGGGACGGGGGACGGGGGGAGGGACGGGGTGGGGACGGGGGGAGGGACGGGGGGGGAGGACGGGGGGGGAGGGACGGGGGGGAGGGACGGGGGGGAGGGGACGGGGGGGGAGGGACGGGGGGGAGGGACGGGGAGGGGGGCCAGGGACGGGGCCAGGACGGGGCCAGGGACGGGGCAGGACGGGGGCAGGGGACGGGGCCAGGACGGGGGCCAGGGACGGGGGAGGGACGGGGCCAGGAGGGGCAGGGACGGGGGGGGACGGGGAGGGACGGGGGGGGGGAGGGGAGGGACGGGGGGGAGGGGGGACGGGGGGGGGGACGGGGGGGAGGGACGGGGGGGAGGGGACGGGGGGACGGGGGAGGGACGGGGGGGAGGGGACGGGGGGGAGGGACGGGGGGGGGGAGGGGACGGGGGGAGGGACGGGGGGGAGGGGACGGGGGGAGGGACGGGGGGGAGGGACGGGGCCAGGGACGGGGCCAGGGACGGGCCAGGACGGGGGGAGGGACGGGGGGAGGGACGGGGGCAGGGGACGGGGGCAGGGACGGGGGCAGGGACGGGGGGGCAGGGACGGGGGGGGACGGGGGGAGGGACGGGGGCAGGGACGGGGGGGACGGGCAGGGACGGGGCAGGGACGGGCAGGAGGGGGGACGGGGGGGAGGACGGGGGGGAGGGACGGGGGGGAGGGACGGGGGGGGAGGGACGGGGGGAGGGACGGGGGGGGAGGGGGACGGGGGGGAGGGCCGGGGGGGGGGAGGGGGGGGAGGGACGGGGGGGGGAGGGGACGGGGGGGGAGGGGACGGGGGGGGAGGGACGGGGGGGAGGGACGGGGGGGAGGGGGACGGGGGGGAGGGGACGGGGGGGACGGGGGGGGGGGGGGGACGGGGGGAGGGTGGGGGAGGGACGGGGGGAGGGACGGGGGGACGGGGGGGGACGGGGGGGGGGGGGACGGGGGAGGGACGGGGGAGGGACGGGGGGGAGGACGGGGGGGACGGGGGGAACGGGGGGAGGGGACGGGGGGGAGGGAAACGGGGGGGGAGGGAGGGGGGGGGATGACGGGGGGAGGGACGGGGGAGGGACGGGGGAGGGACGGTGGGGGGAGGGAGGGGGGGGGGACGGGGGGGGGGACGGGGGGGGAGGGAGCGGGGGGGAGGGACGGGGGGGGAGGACGGGGACGGGGGGGAGGGACGGGGGGGAGGACGGGGGGGAGGGACGGGGGGAAGGGAGGGTGGGGGGGGGGGGGAGGACTTTGTGAGTGACTTTTGGGACGGGGGGGAGGACTTGGTGAGGTTTGACTTTGGTGGACGGGGGCAGGGACGTGTGGAGAGGGACGTGGTGAGTTCCACGGGGCGATTACTTTTTAGGACTTTGTGGAGGACTTTGGCGAGGACGTGTTGGAGGACTTTTTGGAGGACGGTGGGGAGAACTTTTTGCGGACGTGGGGCAGTGACGGGGGAGTGGACGGCGGAGGGGACGGGGGGAGTTACGGGGGGGAGGTGACGGGGGGAGGGACTGGGGGAGGGCGGAGGGAGGGGTCGGGAGGGACGGCGTGGAGGGGACTGGGGAGGGACGTGGTGGCAGGGACGTTTGGCAGGGACGGGGAGGGCGGAGGTGAGTGCGAGGGAGGTTAGACGGGGGAGACCTGGCGAGGACGGGGGAGGACGGGGCAGGGACTACGAGGGACGGGGCAGGCGGGCCAGGACGGGGCCGGGAGGGGCAGTGATTAAAACGGGCAGTTACTGAGTGCGGGAGGGACGGGTTCGAGTACGGGCGAGGACGGGGCGGGGAGGGGACGGGTCGAGGGACGGGTGGCAGAAGGGGAGGACGGTGGGAGGGGGTGGGGGGAGGTCAGGGAGTGTCTGGGGAGGGGGGGGGGGACGTGGGGAGGGACGGGGGGGGAGGGACTGGGGGCGATGACGGGCCAGGCGGGGCAGACCGGGGCAGGGACGGGCAAGGCGGGGGGGCAGGGACGGTACGGGGGGGAGTGGACGGGGGGGAGGGACTGGGGTGAGGACGGGGGGAGGGAACGGGGGGGAGGGAACGGGGGGAGGGACGGGGGGAGGGACGGGGGGGGAGGGACGGGGGGGAGGGACGGGGGGGAGGGGACGGGGGGAGGGGACGGGGGGGAGGGACGGGGGGGGGGACGGGGGGGGAGGGACGGGGGGGAGGGACGGGGGGGAGGGACGGGGGGGAGGGACGGGGGGGGGAGGGACGGGGGGAGGGCCGGGGGAGGGGGGGGGGGGGGGGGGACGGGGGGAGGACGGGTGGGGAGGTGGGAGGGGGCAGGGGCGGGGGGAGGGGACGGGGGGGAAGAGGGACGGGGGGAGGGACGGGGGGGAGGGACGGGGGAGGACGGGGGGGAGGGGGTGGAGGGGGACGGGGATGAGGGACGGGGGGGGAGGGACGGGGGGGGGGGACGGGGGGAGGGACTGTGGGAGGTACGGGGTGGAGTTACGGGGGGGAGGGTTTACGGGGGGGGGGAGGACGGGGGGGAGGGACGGGGGGGAGGGACTGGGGGGGGAGAGGGACTGGGGTAGGACGTGTGAGGGCCGTGGTTGAGGTGACGGTTTGCGGTACTGTGGTGAGTTTACTTTGTTGAGGTACTTTTGTGGAGTGGACGGGGGGAGTGACTTGGTGGAGTTACTTTTTTGAGTTTACTTGGTGCGTTACTGGTTGGAGGGACTTTTTTTTGAGTTACTTTTGGAGTGTACTGTTTCGTTACCTTTTTTAGTTACTTTTTAGTTACTTTTTGCAGGGACGGGGGGCAAGGTGGACGGGGGAAGGGACGGGGGGGAGGACTGGTGGGACAGGGGGACGGGGGGGAGGGACGGGGGGGAGTGACTGGGGGGAAGGGGACGGGTGGTTGGAGGACTTGTGGGGAGGGACTTGTGGGAGGGGGGCGGTGTGGAGTTACGGGGGGAGGACGGGGGGAGGGACGGGGGGAGGTACTTTGTGGAGGGGGGAGACGGGGGGGGGGGGGACGGGGGGGACAATACTTTTGAGTTACTTTTTTTAGTTACTTTTTTAGTTACTTTTTTAGTTTTTTAGTTACTTTTTTAGTTTTTTTTTAGTTACTTTTTTTAGTTACTTTTTTTTTTACTTTTTTTAGTTACTTTTTTTAGTAGTTACTTTTTTAGTTACTTTTTTTAGTTACTTTTTTAGTTACTTTTTTTAGTTACTTTTTTTAGTTAGTTACTTTTTTTAGTTACTTTTTAGTTACCTTTTTTAGTTACTTTTTAGTTACTTTTTTAGTTACTTTTTTTAGTTACTTTTTTAGTTACTTTTTTAGTTACTTTTTTATTACTTTTTTAGTTACTTTTTAGTTTTTACTTTTTAGTTACTTTTTTTAGTTACTTTTTTCAGTTACTTTTTAGTTTTACTTTTTTTAGTTACTTTTTTCAGTTACTTTTTTTAGTTACTTTTTTAGTTTTTTTTAGTTACTTTTTTTTTACTTTTTTTAGTTACTTTTTTTAGTTACTTTTTTAGTTACTTTTTTTAGTTACTTTTTTTAGTTACTTTTTTTAGTTACTTTTTTAGTTACTTTTTTTTTAGTTACTTTTTTTAGTTACTTTTTTAGTTACTTTTTTTACTTTTTTAGTTACTTTTTTAGTTACTTTTTTAGTTTCCAGTTACTTTTTTCAGTTACTTTTTTAGTTACTTTTTAGTTACTTTTTTAGTTACTTTTTTTTACTTTTTTAGTTACTTTTTTGTTAGTTACTTTTTTTAGTTACTTTTTTTAGTTACTTTTTTAGTTACTTTTTTTAGTTACTTTTTAGTTACTTTTTTTAGTTACTTTTTTAGTTACTTTTTTTAGTTTTTTTACTTTTTTTAGTTACTTTTTTTTTTTTTTTTAGTTACTTTTTTAGTTTTTTTAGTTACTTTTTTTAGTTACTTTTTTTTATTTTTTTAGTTACTTTTTTTAGTTTTTTTACTTTTTTAGTTACTTTTTAGTTACTTTTT